TATTAATATACGTTAGGTAAGGGCAAAACCTGTTATATATAATGCTATTGTATTGAATAGCCTAAGATGGCCGCGCAGTCGCTTCAATTCGCAGAGCAAAGCTGCCTATCCATTGATATGGGCCACCTCCTGGCTGGGGCTTACGTCAGCTGACTGGCTCTGATAATTCGACTGCAGGTAGAAAATACAACGTCAATTCCTGTCGCAGCTCATTTCACACGCGCACGCTCGCACACGTTTGGGCAACGCAAGACGAATACGTGCAATATTAAATCTCACGCAACAGCGCTTCGGTAGGGAATGATGCTTGTAAAACTGACCGATGGCGAAATTTAGGGGTTATTCATGCACAAGAGTGGATGTGCAGTACATGTACGGGGGGCGTAAGGTGAGTCAGTGCATGCGTTCTAGTCTGCATGAAACTGCAGGGGAAGAGGGCCAGAAGAAGTGCATGTTTGGCTTGATCTGTCTTTATGGAGACGACACTAACTTCGATCTTCGAACACCGTTGAGGTAGACTTGACGTTACATAAGATTTGCGGTAAACTGGACACAATGCGGCGCCCAGGTTAGGGGTGAAACAATCAAAATATACGAGCGATGGGTATAGTTGCTCATAAATATGAATAAATGTCTACATGTGGAAACTCGGAGGGGTTCAGTAATGACAAAAAGGGGGAATACGACATATGCCCCCTAATAAAAGAGAGGGATGCACAGGCGCACTAGCTACTCCCCCCCCCCAGTACGATAACCCAAACACACACACACACAAACAGGTCGCAAATGCCCCACCCCACCAAAAGTGATGTAACGCGACGCGCATATAATACATGTACTTCATATACTGCAGGTCAGGCATCGCCTATTGGTATCACTTTTTGTCACATTTGTGGATTAAGAAAATTGCTTCCTTGCTCTTAAAGAGCCGGGAGTTTTGGACCTCATAGCCGGAAAACGAATTTTTTTCTCAACCAATATACTGGGGCTACACCTCTGTTTATTGCCAGTCTTGAGAGGAGACTACAGTCTTTGCACGCCTTGGCAGCTTCTGCTAAAATTGGATCTTATACGTCTCTTTTATAAATAAACCACGGAGAACCTCAAATTAGGAACAAAAGGAAGGGCATTTTCTGCATTAAAGTTGGATTTAAGTGAAAATAAATATTTATCCTGAAACAAGGTATTTCTGAAAATGAAACATTACTGTTCTCGGAATGCAGGCTTTATTCAAGCTCGGTTACCCAAGGGTGTTGTGTACAAAAACATTTCGTACCCAGCAGAGAGACACGGAATCCGGCTCCCCAAGATTTCAGCTGTCCCGTGACTAATCCTTCTCAGACTTGGCACAAGGTATGCTTGTCAACCTGGATAAATTTGTGGTCCGTGGACTGGAGGGTTCATTACAATCAAGACTGTTAGCTTTTTTTCTGAAAAGCCAGGACAAAATGTCCCTCCAAATGACATTAATAACGGAAATGGGGTTTCTCAACATGTTTTGGGAATGTCATCTTTGGACAGGCCTAGAAATATCTTCAGACGTAATTAAATGGAAAGAAAATGAAAGGTAATGAAATGAGCTTTAATCTGATTTATATACAACACTTAAGAAAGGTGTAAGTTATTTTCCTGATTTTTTTAATCGGGGATATTTATCATATCTGTGGTTACTCTTGACTGTTCTGCAACCAGATCTATGGGACTGACTGCGATCCCTGGAATGTTCGTCATGATATTTCGTGGAACTTGGGTTTGACCACTGGCGGAGGCCTTCCACCGGACAACCGTTTCCTAGTCTTCCTGTAAACGGAGGCCTTTCGGCGGTTGTTGCCCTGTGTCCTGTCTCAACCGTCCGGAAAACGAATTTGTCAACAAATGAATTCAAATGCGCCCGACCCGGGGGGGTGTACATGTGAGAGAGTTAGTGACAATACATCCCTTCCCCTCTGTCAGGACAGTGTATTTTGTTCGATAAAATAACGTCGGTCTGTACGGCAACCAAATGTTTGAAGGAATGGGGGGTTCATGTCTTCTAAATACATGTACCACTCGTAAATGAAAACCCCGTCATCATTCAAAGATTGAATCGAGGAAAAGGAAATCGCCTCCAATAGATACTTCAATTTGATAATGTGTTGACAAAAGAAAAATAAACAAACAAACAAACAAATAAGCCGCCATTACGAGGAAGGAAGTAGGAAGGGCCACATATTTCTTCGCATTTAGATGCGATATGGCCAACATGAAATGGATGATTTTCCGAACATACACCAAAAAGCCAAGTTACTGCTACTACTACTAATAATGAATATTTATAACGCGCCGGTATCCGCACGAGAGACGCTCATGGCGCAGTACAATCAAGAACAACGATAATAACGATGGAGAAACTCGAGGCGACTGTTTTATTGTGCGGCCCAGCTCTGATTCACAAAATTCCTTTTCCAGGGTGGAAGACCCGGTTGCGCTCTTGAATTAATCTTACTGAATAATGCCTCCCGGCGTACCCATTGACATCTAGACCTAGTTACTTCAGCGCTCCCCAGGTTTAGACATGGTGCCTTTTTGACATCACATTCAAGCGCTTCAGAACAGTTCGCTATAATTATCCACATTTCATTGCAGAAGCTCCCTCAACGTTCACTACTGCCACAGTCGGTTTTCATCTGGCTTCCTCTACTCGAAAGACAAAATAAAAACTGACCGGGCAAAAATCCTATAGCGCTCAAACGTAACATTTACCATCACCTATCACAGTGATGAAATTCCTGGGAATATGCGGAATTTTGTTTTAAAAAAACCCACGCAAATGATGGAAGATTCCTAGCTGTTATTGTGTATTACCTTAGTGAGGTCTGTCGGCAACCTTGACTTTAATAACCAGATTTTAATAAGCTATGGTTACGTGTCGATGTTTTTCCTTTTGAATTTGAATTACGAGACAAGTTGCTAACTGCAGTGGCCTTAAATTTCTGTATGCAGCTCTGTTTTCTAAACGTCCCTATATTTGATTGCTGCATGCATAATGCAGCTGGTATCCAGCATGTAGGAAAGTGACATCGACAAAGCCAAAAGTATGCATTTTGGCGAGCGCCATAATGTATTCGTCTGCAGACCGAAGCAGTAAGAAACGTCAAGTGTATAATAGCGAGGATGGTGGAATGCAATTTTATTCCGACGACTGTTGTGTAATAGGTCTTTTACACATCTCAGAAGTTTCAGTTCAGAGTTTGGAAATAATTGAGGGCAGTTGGAATCAAAACATCTGATTTTATGGGTTACACTTTCCTTTCAATTGACGACATCTGTGATGGGAGAAATTAAAAAAACAAAACAAACAATTTTGCTGACATTTTTAATGCTTCAGTCACAAAATATACTCTAATGTTGTCACGTACCCCGTTGATTGAAACTGCACTCTGGACGAAGAATACATTCCGCTATGTATTTGCATCTGCTTTAAAGATGTTGTATTTCTTTGAAATTATCTAGGGTTTTTTTATCCTCCTTCAAAAAGGATAGAATTACGGCCCGTGACAAACGTCATTTAGTTTCAAACAAGTAATCACAATGCGTTTTCATAGTTTCAATTTCGGGGTATAGGCCTGAATAGTTAGGCGAGTTTGATATCATAAATTGTAACATTTATTCCTTCATTTCACTGCCCGATCAAGCAAGGCCGAATTCATAATCAAATTCTCGGAAGGAGGGCAAATTTGTTTTGGGCGGGGGGCCAAAGTTTCCAACAATATATCATACATTCTTCTATGTGCTTCCCGAGGGGCAGGGCTATATACATGCCGCTTGGTTGTTTAATTGCTTCTGGATGGAAGAGAACTGAGGTAGACAAAACACACCCTTTTCTCATTATTTAGAAATGAAAAAATGATTCCTTGGGCCAGGCATGGCCACCGTTGCTCCTCTGGATCCACCCTACGGTCCTTTGATGGCCTCTTTGGGGAAAGTAGGCTACGCTTCCTGATGTCAATGCGTACTATTTCACTTTTATTGAAATTTTGCACAAGTCTGTGATACGGTCATTCAGTTTTCACCCCAAATCCTTTAATAACTTGTCTCAGTAATTTCCAACTGGACAGTTTCGAATTTCCCTCCCATAGAGTCACTCTTAGACAAAACTTGATAGTTTTTATTTTGTCTTTTCTTAATAATTTTCCTTTTTCGAATTGTGCATATATCAGCAATCCCATTTCTCCCTCATGTCAATAGTGACTCTCGTATACATTGAACAGTCGTTGATCACATGAGCACTTACCGGAAGGAGTTTTGAGGGCGAGCTGCGCGCTCCGTACGATATGTCACTTGCACCGCGGTATATGAAGTATGCTGATTAGGTAGTGACGTGCGGTTTCCTCACAGGGAGGGAGAGCCGGTCGGACGGCCTCACATACACAGCGTATAAGCATTGGGCAAGGCGCCTGACATCACCATTCGATCTCGTCGAGATAGAGTGAAAGGAAACGATCGCATTAGACTTCTATCACAGCAGTGCAGGAGACACGCAGCATGATTGGGGCAGAAATTTAGTCACAAACACCCGGAAAGGCAACCGATACGAGCCCAGCGAGCAACCTAGCCAGAGTATTGTTTGGTAGTCAATATCGGTAGGCAGTCTAACACAAAGATAGGTCTCCTAAGTAGGAAGCAGTTCTGCTTTTTCAAGAGCCGAACTGCGAGCAAAGAGGAACCAGCAGTCGCCATGGGGACTGTGCTGTCCATCTCGCCCAGGCCTCATAAAGATAACGGCAACTATGGCGACACCGCATCGCTCAGCGTCAGTAATCTCAACATGCTGTACAACAGCAAGAATTCATCCAACAACAACGCTAAGGAGAACCTACTGGCCGACACCACGCGGCCTATGCGAAAACATTCGGCCATGTTCATCAGTGCCCTTGGCTGGAAGATGTTCAACGTGTCCAGCAAGAAAAGGACTGCCAGCACTGGTGTCTCGACCACGTCCTTTACAAATAATCAGTTCTATACTGGCATTGACAAAGTCAACAATAACCACGTCCTAAAACCAAAGAATCAAGTCGCCAATAATAACACTAACCAAACGCTGCAGCGCCAACGGTCCGAAATCAACACCACAGCAGGCCACGACGTGGAGTCCAGCATCAAAAAGTCCTTCTCCTGTTTCAATCTCAATTCCCACTGTCAGTCCAACTCTAACAGCCAAAACCAGAACGTCAAGAACAACAACTCCTCCTTCTGCGGTCTCCGGAAGTCTTCCAGTGGCCAGCTGAAGGTGCCAGCTGTCCCGCCGAAGAAGGTAGTCCAATCGTCCACCAGTGAACTCTTGAAATGCCTGGGGAACTTCGTCAGCAGGCGGTGCCCTCATCTCCGCAGCTTCGATGCCAACGACGCCATTGTCTGGCTACGGGCAGTTGACCGGTCGCTCCTCGTTCAAGGATGGCAGGACATCAACTTTCTCAATCCGGCGAACGTGGTATTCGTGTTCATGTTGGTGCGGGACCTCGTTTCCATCCAGGAGATACAAAGCGAATTAGAACTCCAGGCCACGGTACTCACCTGTCTCTATTTGTCCTACAGTTACATGGGTAACGAAATCAGCTACCCACTGAAGCCCTTCCTTGTGGAACAGGACAAGGATAACTTTTGGACACGATGTCTGAAGATCATCAATAACTGCAGCTCCAAGATGCTGCGAATTAACAGAGACTCTAACTACTTCACCGATGTCTTGGGTGAACTTAAGTCGTACGGCAAAAGTTAAAGGTACGGGTGTGCTATTGCTAAGTCTGTCAAACCATGGTCAAACGAACGGAGTATTCGTGTAAGCTTATCAATGTGAAGGTTTGTCTATTATGTATCTGTTCACGAGGGTGACAGAGATATTTGCTTCGTTCTTCTCAAAATCCTGACCAAGAAAGTTTCTGTTTTGTTCGTCAGCATGAATATATTTTTAACCAAAATGTGCAGTGGCACAAGTGGAAGATGTTAGACAGCAAAACCGTCTGTCTTGTGTCACCAAAAGAAATGATTTACGTCAGTACTTAAAAATGGAACATTCTGTGAAAGTACTGAAACTTTGCTTTGCCGTTTAACTGATCTAACCCGCACAATCATTTTTGAGAAATGCATTTAGATCGTATCACCTGAGTGCTTCAGACATACATGTATTTTACTTGATGAGCAATGGCTTTTATGTTTATGGGTCCTTTAACCAAGAAAGAGATACTAGAAATCTGATCGCGTACTGTTTTGATCGAAACTGTAAAGTGTAAAGTCACTCGTGGACTGGAGTTTAGAATTTGCTATGTGCGATACCGAAATGTGCAGGCATTATGTATCCTCGCTGCCAAATCGCATGCCTGTACAGCGCAAGATAGTGTGGGTGCTATTTATGGGGACCTTTCTTGCTGATGCGTGTGTGAAATAGCTGCACGTGAAAGATTTCAAGCAATGTCGAGGCACTTGATAACAGGCGACATTTGTCTGGTATTGGCATTCGGGGGGTTTCGGTCAAGTTCTATCGGCAACGCTTTGCGTGTTTGGGGGAGGCTTCAAAACAGTTCTCATCATTTGTCATATCCAATAAAATTTGCATCTGGATAGTTATCTTGCAGTAGTAAATAAGACCATATTGCCAAACAACAGGATAAGTTGTCATGGCCAGTATCCTCAAATCACCATCGAAAGAGAAAACGCACGGATAACGTTTCAACACAATTTCCTCTTGACGTACATGTACGTGTACATGCAGATTCACATAACATATCTTGGTTTCAGTCACGCAGCAAACCCTCCAGAAAAGTGTGGTTCAACGTATTTTTGCATAATAATTCTATTTTAGGACTGGGACACCTAGGGATGACTTCACTGTTCATTGGCAGTATTGTCTGTAATTTATAATTCACCGCTATCTGGTAATTAAAATAATGAATCTTATATAATTAGTTTTACTAGTACAATTCCTTTCCGCATCGATCACATTTTAGCCACGATACACAATGAGAAGCCATCGGATTTTTTTTTACTACGTGAAGGTGTGTGCAGCTGTTTTCTTCACCGATTTCCAATATGGCTGACTACTTAGAGTCTTTCGCAGTTGCTGATTGGTCGACGCCATGCTCGCACACGGTGCAGACGTGGGGCATTAATTATGGAATGAGATATTAATTATGTTGAGTATCGTCTGCAGCACGGAGAGCTAGCATTATAATACCGACTGATGTAGTATGAGTCTGTCATAAATTGTGTGTGATATTTATTTTGATATAAAAGATTTCTTTTATTGTGCTAGATTGTATAGAAAGGTATCACTTTTATTTATTCGCAACTAAGATGACACGAAGTTGTAACGATAACTAACTCTTTTGTATTTCTCAGTGAACAAACGTATGATAGCTCTCTCATTTTGTAAGTCCATTAATGACTCGCGTCAGTTGGGAGTTACCACGAATAAATGATGGATTATAGACCGATTCATTCGTCACGCTAGTATAACAGGCGAGGGAAAACTGTTCTTTAACCAAACTTACTTATTTTCTGTCATCAAACCGTTCTGAGAGCGTCGTCATGGCAACGGATATTGACAGCAGTTTTGCTTTGAGCAGCTCTCTGCACTGCCTGCGAGCTCTGCAAGAAAAATTCTACGCCGTTAATTTATCGATTCATATACCTCTGCGCGAAAAAGTTTTTGTTTCCACGATGAAAGGGTACATCCAGATCTTTGCCAAATATATTTATGTTGTTGCCAGAGTGAGTCTTATATGAACGAAAAGGGATTTAATAGAATTAAGGGCCCGTTGGTCTTTTTAATGTTAACATGTAAACCGATTACATCATGGTGTCATATGCCGATTTGTCTGAAGAATGGCAGAAACGTCTTTGTATTTTAGAAGGTAAGCAAAACAACCGACTTGAAATCCCTAATGCCCGTTTGAAAATATAATTTATACTAATTTAAACAATCTTCATGAATAAATTAGAACCTCAAATTTTGACGGAACTCGCCAGGTATGCTGGAATCTGCTGCAGCTATCAGTCACGGAAGGTGTCAGTGACAAATCTTTGCACACACTCCGACACGACCCGGTAAATATCTTGAGATTTAAGCGGGGGTGAGCCAGTACGGCCTATGACGTCATTGCGCGGCCGAAGCTAGCAGCTGAGGCTGCTGCTCAGTCTGCTGCAAGCTGGTAAATTTTCCCGGAGAAACAGCTTCTGTTTTAAGAGGCTTTTGGTGAAATTTCATCGTGATTTCGTTTTCATTGTCAATTTCAAGAAGTTTACACTAAAAAAACGCAGGACAACTTTTTTGCTTAAAGCGACATACCAGACGAGTAGCTTAACTGTTGGGCAAACAGATTACCATACCCCGATGATTCTCTCCTGATTGTTAATTTTTTAGGAATAAAAGAGTGGGTAAAAAGTGGTTGTGCAAGTAATGTTTTCTACAACAAATAAGTGATACGCCCGGTACTTACACCCATCATTTAAAAAATAAATTGGCCAGCTTTTTGCAGTGTATTATTGTATCATAAGTTTAATGATTAACAATATCCTTTTGCAACCTTCTTACCTTGATTGTTTCTCAAGTACAAAATTTGCAACAAGCTTTCGTAAAATATCACCCCAATTATATTACCTCTGAAAGTTATCTCCTTGGTACCTTGCAGTACTTAAAAAATAGTGTACTTTTACAAATGTACCACCAATCACGACAGTCACTTTTACTCACCGATCGATCTATCACGTGTTTGTACATATTCATTGCCCACATACAGTATATTAACGTTATACATGTGCAAGATCGGTATTAAGAAAAGTCATTGTTCAATAAACCGGCGTATAATTATATCGTTTAATATTATTAAGTCATGTCTATTATCTAAAAACCAAAAAGTTCATGTGTGTATGGAATGTGGTGCTTCAGCCAAATGACATCAATCTGTTCCTGCACATGCAAACGGTATCTAGTCATTGTGAAGAATTTTATAGATGTATATAAATTGAATCATGGTTGTTTATGTATATATCGTAAATCAATGGTAAAGCACGCTGCAATATTACATTGATCTGGTTAAATGTACTCATACGTCTGCTGCTGCCAAGTGTATTTCTAAAGATCTTTCATACATGCAATTACATGGATGAACATATATGTTCAGTCTGGGAATACCTTTCCGTTGTTTCTAACATTTCTATAGCTTGATAAAATGACATAGAGGAAAAAATAGCTTTACATTGTAACATGTATATGACGGAAAATTCATCAACTGACCATTGATTAAGAATCAGAGAAGCATTTTTTCATAGATTATCACATTACATCTTAAGAGTGTTCATTGGTTGTTGTAATCAACAAGAATTCGATTTGACGATGACTAACACGAATTACGTATGCTGTGTGTAATAACGGCGTACAACGAATCGAGTGTTTTAATATTATTCATTAACCCGGGGCGCTATATCCAACAAGCGCACCTCGTATGCCATGTTTTTAGTGGATCTGAAGAAGACTCCTGCTCGTGATAGCCTGTTCTTTGCCTGAAGTAATCAGCCAGCGATGACTTATCGTGCCTGTGAGAAAAAGGCACGATGGAGATAGAGTCTGGCCAGGCTACGGCAATTACTTGGTCGTATGTACGCTTGTTGACGCAACGGATGCAGGGAGACGAGCGACCTTCGGTGTTTTCTAGAGGATGATTGCAACGAGTTGACAGCTTCGGAATTAATAACAGCGAACTAGTTAGGCAAAATATAAATCATGGCGCCTACAAATATTGTTCTGGAACTGATTGTTCTGTTTTGCAAAAATCAACTCGATAATTGTAATTACTAAATTTTATTCCGGAATCTCATAAGTTCTGGTCACATTCTAAATTTAACTGCTTTTTAAACTTGCATTTTTGCGTTGGGGAGATGCTGTTTTCCAGTAACGGGTTTTGCCCTTAAACCGACGTGTATTTATAACACTTGTATACTCCGTGAGTATAAAGTGTTATGAATATACCTTGGTGTGAGGACAAAACCCGTTACTAAAAAAAAATCCGGTTTGTTTAAAACAGTTGATTCACTATTGAACAATTTCTCACCATTAAAGATTGCAAAATGTCTGTTATTCCTCCACTGAAATAAAAAAACTGTGCGAGATGTCTATTCACAGGGCCATTTAACCTACTTAAATAAACACGTTTCGTATGGGAAAGGGTGATATTGATGTACTGGTCCCCGTAAATTCTCACACTTTTTGTATATCATTTTTCAAAGTTCTCGAAGCGCATTTCGCAAACAGGGCGATATCCAGTTCATCCGTTTACGTAAATGCGACTGTCATGTACATTCAGAGTACTCGATCTTATTGGTTAGTGCAGCAACGAATACATTATTTTACCTAACAAAACCAACTGCTTGTCAAAATGCTCAATAAAGCAGCACGTAGTTATGATGACTGGTCAGCAATTGTAAAAAATCGTTATAAATGCCGGCACACAACTCTGATTGGTATGATTTCCACCTCGATTGTCTTGAGGCTATTATGTAATAATCCTCGGAATTTCTTCATACATTGTGTCGACGTCTTTCCACTTCAGATGAAGTAGAAGCTGTACTTAGATTAGGAATGTCATTTGGCTGAGTACCTTTAACTTTACGCAACATAATTGTAACAGTGTGTATCAAACCAAAACAGGTTAGTATAAATATAAAAATTTACTGTCAGTGTTGAGGTATATATTATACGTACTGTGATGTACATAATTTTTGCAAAAATATTGTATTTGATTTAATGATTTTTTTTAATGATGTCTCCCACCTTGTGCATAGAACACCAAGATGGTGGTGCAATGTAGTGTCGTTCGGATATCATTAAATCATGTATCACACGGAAACAGTGTTGTTGACTTTGGCATTGGCTTTGTTTTGTTAGGAACATGTGGGATATCTCTTTGGCAAATTTTCTGTGAAATAAAAACAGCTTTGTGGACTGCCGAGAAATGACGTTCACGTGCATAGAAATCCGATTGAACATTTCCTCCATAGAATGCACTTTAAGTGCGCTGTTGCACAATTTACATTCCATGTGCATGTAGTTCCGTTTTGCGCAAATTAAACAGTGGAAACAGAAAGCTAAATATTCACAGAAACAATCACACGAGGGTGATTTCACAGCTGTGCACATGTCCGGCCGACTATTTCTCTTTCAAAACTGTTTGGCAGCAACTCCAATATAAATTTGATGCCCTTCTCTTTAACGATGTTCTCATTCTTTATCTCGAGTGATAACGAAATCTTCACACAGATTTTAATTGCCGATTCGCTCCGTTACTATGTATCATTCCATCTCGTTAGAATATATGGAACAACTTTGACAACCCAAAGTGACCTTTCCACAATTGCAGTGAAATGATTATTATTCCAACCCAACCATTGCTTCTAATTTTAAGTCGATTATCCGCTCTCACGTTATTGCATTTAATGTTTCAGTCATTCCTAAAATCAATGTCTATAGAAAATCACACCTGATATCTACACAGGATAGCCAGCCAGTCGACAGCAGCATCGTTTCCTGGGAAGGACCGGAAAAGGCACGCATCCTCTGTCATCCAGGTGACCTGTATTTTGTTTCTGGTGACCCAGACGTAGTACAGCAAGGCAGCTGCTAGGCGAATGAACAATGCCAAGAAGTGCAGTCATGATTACAAAGCAGAAATTACAAGAAAATACAAATCGATTGTGGTGTATAAACATGGTGTAACCATGCATACGGCAAAGAGGTACGTCCTTAGGTAATAATACGTGGGCCATCGCTTTGAAATGGTTGTAATGAAGGTCTACGTGGGGTCATCCTCATACACTCAAGTCCGATATTGAGTTCCCATGGCAATTTGAAAATGATACCACACTCAAGATGTAGAAACCTGTTCCTCCTGATTTGTTCGCTGATGAGGGGTAGATAACAGTGAGCCTTCCCCATTACTTTGCAGCTGTTTTTGAGAGCTTTTGTACTCAAACCGTCTGCGCGTGTGGCCTGCTGGACCCATTGTAAACTACATGTGTCAAAGACCTATTGGCTGGCTTCTTTAACATCTGTTTTAATTTATCACAACGCGCTACAGTTACCATATGATGCAAGATATGGGGCGGAGAGACCCCCCCCCTTTGTGTTGGTCATTGTTTGATCACAATCTCAGGAATTCTTCACAGACTTCTGGGGGAGATGTGTTAGGTAACAATAGTCTAGAGTGTGTACAGGGATTGGACATGTGGGGGGGGGTACTCATCGGCCCCGTATCGATCAGAGTTTCTGCCCACTTGCAGCGTGCAACAAGGATCACATACAGCTAACTGCAGTCCATATTTCTGGTTTAAAATCAACGGCTATTTAATACATGGAGAGCAAGGAGATGTATTTTACTTTGTCAATATCGCAATATTGGAACAGAGATTTAATTTGTGAATTGTCGCATTCTGAAAGGGAACTTGCATGTGAACTGACAGACATTTCTTTTGTTGCAATGCACTTCGCACTGCTGTTCTACCAGTCTGCTGTATTATGGATACATTTGTTATGCTCTTCGAAGCACTGAACGGCATTGTTCTTTTATGCACTGTTTGCGACGTCCACTAATAAACTGTTAATGACATTGCGCAGGCCTATTGGCCCTTGGGTATAGTTAAGCTATCCGGGCTACATTGTGTGATGCTTTTGTCGCATCTTTCATCGTACACATAAACGTCCATATCCTTCAAGCATGCATGCATTTAATTTTGGGGGGGATGAATTTCGAAAGGTCAGAAGATACATTAATATTGTCTACCTAGAGGAAAACAACTCATTGTGGGATCTGTAGGATCGGGTCTTCGTGCTCCCTGCCCTAGCCTAGTCGAACAACACTGTCAGCAGGCCTACTGAAGAATTATTCTCATTTGACGTTTTTCTCAGAGTTAGAAAACAAAACAAACCAACGAGGAAATGTCTTACCATGAAAACTTGACACCCTTTCAAGGAGGATCCTTAGCACGCAGTAACTCAATATTCGTAACACCCCCTCCATGTCTTTTCTTTCACAATGAATGCACGGGTTAACTAGAATCCGTATTCAGTGACAACTGACATTTCTGTCTCGAGTTTCAGAATGTAATAAGATTATGGATGCAGGCTTGGATAGTATGTCTTCTGCCCTGAGGTGGTTTACATGATAAAATGTCCCCGACTTCTTTGTCCCGTTGCTGGAGAATTTTGTGTAATGCACAGCAACGATGGTATAGACTGAACAGAATAAAGGAATGACGTTTTCAAGGAAACAACAGATGAACCCTCTTTTCTGTGATTTGTGGATTTATTTTGGACAAGACAGACGTGTTTTGTTCTAACCCGGAAGGCTTTTTTCATAGTACGAATCTTCACAATGTATAGACGTGTTTAAGGTTCTTCCAAAATTTATTGCAGATTCGCCCAGATGTGATATATAGCCTTCCTGAACCTCACGCCACATGTACGTAACTTTGAATACACAAAATAATCACTGAAAGTCGGTGAATCATTCGAAAAACAAGAGCTACGGGTTTAGGCCTACCAAGTATCATAATCTTGCTTAAACATCTACAGCTATCACAAATCTACATGCATGCAAAATCTTGTTGAGTAATTTCTCCAAAAGCTGGGCTAAAAATAAAAGGAAAGCAACACAACACCCGTCCGACAATTTAAATGCACATTTCTTTATCCATTTAAGATAATATACGTCTGCGTCTGACCACTGCGACATTGGAAAGAGAGTCTCTGCTTCAAACATCAGGTTATTACTTTGAATCTTATCGCCGGTGATGCGGTCTTGGTTTCTTCTTGAAATAAAAAAGAACCCATTGTTGCAATTTTGTTGAACTTGTCATAATTGAAATGGCACTCTCTCCCATAACAGGTATCAACAAGTTTGAGGATTGCTTTACTGAAACAGCACATTTTATTTCGACAATATCTAGACGGGATGCCGCGTTTATTCGTGTTCTTGATTGGGCACTGCTGCCTTCAAGAAATACTTCGTCACCTGTCATTGTTGACGCACCTAGTATAGACAGTGGAAGGTAGGCCATGCGGTCGCCGCTGACTGCAACCGCCCCGTGTCATTTCACCAAGAGCACAGACCTCGGCCTGTTCAAGCCTTGACTTCAGCACACTGGGCTTCTGTATCCGCACGGTTCTGGTAAACAAAGTTCAGGGTCGGCGGTTTGTGGCCTGCCTGACGTGTGGCTGATGAGCGTAATGATTCATCCAATGTTCATGTACCCTACCCTGTGAATTAGCCGAAAGGACTGGGACCAAGAAGTGTAAAGAGTGCGCTTTGACAGGTCATTTCAGGTGTATGGCAATGGGTTCAAATTCACGAGATTGTTGGAACACTTTCATCACTTGAAAGAAAGTGCATTGCCGCTGATTGTAGTTTCCTATAAAAACACTTTTTTTTTTTTACCTCGAGTCAACTCTCGACCGTTAATATCAAACACCCACAGATCAGAACTAAAAAACGGAATCTCACGGCATTTCAGATTCATTATTTCGTGCCAGACCTTAAAATGAACTTAACGATGGTGATATCTTGTCCTGCGTGAACACTCTGAGTTGATAGGGAGGATCTGTGCTCCGGTTTTATTTCACCGCAAAGGCCCTTAACGCTTCCCGAGGGGACCCGCTTATCTGTTTGACGGATCTCCAGACCCAGGGGAATGATAAATGCCAAGGGGAATGACTTGATGCTATGCCGTGAAGCTGATGCCATGGTGTCGACGTTTTGTGCGCGTTTAACAGCTTCATCACTCAAAAAAAAAAACAAACAAAACAAAACAAAACAACCCTGCACTTTCATTCATCTCATTCCTAAACTATTCGACTAACATATTTTTCATATAATAAACTGCATGGCATTGCATTATGAATTCCTTTTCGCTTGTAAAAAGGGAAAGTCCAACGCTTGAGCAATCGTTGTTCATTTTTATTAACGAATTCAGTGCGTCTAAATGAGCCTGACTTATATTGCCAAATATCAAAGGATAAAGTTTTGCTAACATCTCTATTGAGCACCGTGTTTATTTTCCGAGTACATCGCGGTATATCGATAATTTTTATTAAAAGTACCATTTCCGAATTTGATGCCAAAATACATTCATCTGATGTTGCAGGAACATCCAGATCACTTGGTCACTTACTGGCAAATTTAACCTCACGTTTCCAGTCCCCTTCGACAAGGAAACAGTAATTAATTTCAGTTTAGTTCTCTTAATTCAAAATCAACACTGCAATCTTTAAACTTCAAGACTAAGTTTTGCTTTCACCGAAACTTAAATCAGCCTCATTGCATTTTCCCTGTATTTCTGTCTATGTTGGGCAATGTAAGATGACGCCATTTCAGTTTCCATGATCACCTAATTTAGTTTTTTGTTGTTTGTAATATACATGTATGGACAAAAATTTCGACTCAATCTTGACAACCCCAGTATTTTCAGGGAATCATTTCTCCGGGATTAGACTCTTTGATGAGTAACGGTATGAAGAACAAACAAACAAACAACCCAACAAACCAGCAAACAAACAAAAAATGAATAGTGTGAGTCCTCTGGTATTTTCAAATATTAAAATAAAGAAAGAGGTGCTGGCCGTGGTACCTCTTCTAATTGTTCATAATGTCGGAATATCAACATCTTTCTTCCGTCTCATTGTCATCGGTCGTTCCTTCCAATTACCAATGCAATCGACTCGACTCAATTGCAAGTGTAATACTTTTCTATGGAATTATATTAAACGACAGCCAAGAGAGACAAAATGATGGACAATATGATTTTCTGTGCATCTCCCACCCCGTAAAAAAGACAGCACGTCGGTGAATAATATCTTTCC